TAAAGGTCACACAGCTGGGACTAGACCCTCCTCTGAACTTGTGGGTTGCTGGTCTTTCTGTGTACCACACTAGCCTAACCTTGGTCTTTGGGTAGAGGGAGGCAGAATCCATGGTAGCAGGGCTTCCCATGCAGGCCTTTGGTGGCTTGAAGACTGTCATAGAATGTTGTACACTCTACCCCTAGTTAGCCCTAGTCCTTGATGCTCTACAACAGTGGTTTTCAAACTGTAAGTTCGTATGTTCCCAAAGCTCCAGAACACAGAAGCCAGTGGGCAGACTTGCCCTTCTGTGTGTAGCTTCACCTTCCTCAGATTGGATTTATTTAGCCAGAGGAATTTCAATTTCACCTTTGGATTGGAGTTGCAATCAACATTTTGCTGAAGAGAAGAAATTCTACTAAATAAAGCAGAAAAGCACCCCAGGTGTTTGAAAACCACTGCTCTGGGCAAGACTCTGGCTGGTGCCCGAGGGTGGTGAAAGGCTACCACCAGGCAGCAGCCATTCCCCTGCACTGAGCCATCTGCACAGAGCCCTGTGCCATGCTGCAGAGCAGGACGGTCAGAAAGAAGGAAGGAAGGAAGGAAGGATACCATCAGGTTGTGAATTGACAGCCACTGCAGTACAGGTGGCCCCCGTTTTCAGGGCTTATAGCATATGCAGGAGCTAGGACTCATATTACTGAACAAACCATCAGCTTAAATTCTGGGCCTGGGCTGCTTGAGCAAGACCTCCAAGAGTATGGCCTTGAGCATGGTTTGGCAGGGGGTGGTCGGCAGTATGAAGTGAGAGAGCAGGCTCAGTGTAGGGGAATTGGTGCCTCTTCCCTCTCTATACCTACTCCCTATCCTGGGTGGTCTCTGCTACCCAGGGTGTCCAGAAGGGTCCCAGTGGCTACTTACTGCCTCTTCCGGGCTGATACCCAGGTGCTTCCGCTGCATTCCCAGGGCAGCAAGCACTTGGAGTACTTGCTGATTGATGGTACATACCCCAGGGAGGAGAGGGGTGACGTATGCTTGGTCTGTCTTGTCATGGACTGTATCACCTCCCAGGCCCCATACCCTGAACAGCACCAGCATGTCTAAGGCATATCAGAGCACCTTCACAGGCGAGACCAACACCCCCTACAGCAAGCAGTTTGTGCACTCCAAGTCATCTCAGTACCGGCGCCTGCGCACTGAGTGGAAGAACAATGTTTATCTGGCTCGCTCCCGTATCCAGGGCCTAGGGCTCTATGCAGCCAAGGACCTAGAAAAGCACACGATGGTCATCGAGTACATTGGCACCATCATTCGCAACGAGGTGGCCAATCGTCGGGAGAAAATCTATGAGGAGCAGGTACTTGAGGATGGCTGGGGAATGGTGTGGTGGAGTCCACCCTCTGTCAAGGAGCACAGGGCAGGTTTGCATCCAGGAGGTGGTTGGAAGCCTGTAGGGAAGGAGAAGGCAGGAGGATTCGGTCATGTCAGAGAAGCCCACTGAGTTTGCTTCCTAAGATTCTTGTTCCTTCCACAACTTTTGCCTGTCTAGAATCGAGGCATCTACATGTTCCGGATAAACAATGAGCACGTGATCGATGCTACATTGACTGGAGGCCCTGCCAGGTGAGTGAGGGAGGCTTAAGTGTCTCTAGTGGCACTTCTGGGTGTTGCCTGGTGTCACTGACGCTGACTCTGTCCTGCCATCCAGGTACATTAACCACTCCTGTGCCCCAAACTGTGTGGCAGAAGTTGTGACATTTGACAAGGAGGACAAAATCATCATCATCTCCAGCCGGCGAATCCCCAAAGGAGAGGAGGTGAGAGGGAGGGAGCTTCCTGAGCGAGGAGGTGACCGAGCAGTCCCTCCTCTCCTGCCGTTGCCTAGGAGTTGGATTCCGAGGCTACTGCCCTTGGGTAGCATCTCAGCCGCTAGCCTCTTCCTCACCGTGACTCTTATCTTTCTTTCTTTCTTTCTTTCTAGCTGACCTATGACTATCAGTTTGATTTTGAGGACGATCAGCACAAGATCCCCTGTCACTGTGGAGCCTGGAACTGTCGGAAATGGATGAACTAAGAAGCTTTGAGGCTACCAGGCAGGGGAATCCCCCCACCCCCCACCTCTTCCCTGAAAGGGATGAGGGGGAAGAGCGGTAGCGCCAGAGCTAGGACCCAGGGCTGGGGCTGCCGGCTGACCGGAGCCCCTGGAGCAGGAGGCTGGGGCAGAGGGCCCTAGGCCAAGCCCACCCTGGGCACCAGGGATAACCTTCTTCCCTGCCTGCCACCGGCCCGTAGGCTGGCATCTCTGCCCCCAGCTCCAGGAGGGGTCAGACAGAAGCAGCCACTGGGCATCTCAGGTTTGAGGGGGATATGGGCCGGGAACTACCCAGAAGTGTCTGGGAGGCAGCAGGGAGGGAGGAGGAGGATGTGTGGCCGGGCCTCACAGCCCTGCTGCCTCCACCAACCTCTCTGGCCCAACTCAAGGCTGCAAAGAGACTTGACTAAAGCTTGACAATCCCAAAGGCCGGGTCCCACACCTGGCCCTGCCTGCCGGGTCCTGCCCCTACCCTCACCCCCATCCCTTCCTTCCTCTCTATCTGTCTCTGTCTCCCTCTTTTCCTCTGTGTCTCTGTCTCTCTATGGGTTGTGTTTCCTTGTTTTCCACTCTGACAAATGCAACGTGATGGGAAAGAGGCATCCAGATGCCCAGGAGGGCAAGCTGGGCAAGCCGGGCAAGGAGACCCCGCACCCACACCTACCTCATTTAAGTGTTGGATTTTTTGCTGTTTTGAAATGTGAGACCCTCTCCAAGCCCCCTACTGCCCCAACTCTCTCCCCCACCTCACTGCCCTCTTCTAGTGGGTGGAAGGGGGGGTAGGAGGAGGAGAACAACAACAATAACAACAACAAAAATCCATCTTTGTTTTTAATTATGGGCATGGGATGGTGGTTGAGGCAAATGGTGATGAAGATTGGGGATGACTGGCCCCTAGTTGCTCTAGAACTTCCTTCTCCATCTGGACATGGAGGCGGGAGGGGTGTGCTAAACCTAGGACCAGGATCTCTCTCTCCTGTTTTCTCAGCCTCATCCTGAGCCCATTTGCCCTCCGGCCCCTGGATGGGGTGTGGGGGGTAGGGTGAGGGCTATCCCTGTGTGGCATGCCCATACCCAATGAGGCAGGGTGTGGCCCAGAGCTCTCGCTTTCCCTCAGTCACCAAACTGCTGCTGGTCTGGTGGGAATGGGTGGTGATGTGGGGGTGGGGAGCTTAGTGTCAGCGCGGGGAGGGTGGGGGGTATTTATCTATTTATACATGGGGTTGTACATAGTCTTGTGGGGCATGGGGGAGCCGGCTGGAGGTGAGAACCCTCCCCTCTCCCCCAACCCCTGGGGAGAGCAAATGTAAAACTACTAATTTTTGTGCTTTATATATTCTATATAAATATATCTATTTTCTTTTTACAAAACCAGTTTATAAATGGTAGGGGGGTGTGGGGCGGACACATGGAGCTCCCCTTGTGGGGGGGCCCCCTCCACTACCCAACCTACCGCCCTTTCCTCACCCCCCTTTCCCACCCCCTGGCTGTGACTGCTGTAAGGTGGGGGTATAGAGAGAAGCTGGGTGATCCTCACCCCAGTTGTATAGTTGGACTATGTTATAACGCACAAAAGTAAGCTGGCCCCAGGGGGAGCCAGAGGGTGATGGGTTCCCTTATTTTCCTTTCCCTTCCTCTTTCTGCCTAAGCTTGTGCTGCAGTTGAACCTCTTCCTGGGGGTGGTGGTAGGGTAGAGGGTATGTGAGGCCTCAGACCCCTCTCTGGTGGGGAGCCTTGGGGGTGAAGATAAAGCTTATATGCAGTTCTCTCCTGGGGGCTGTGGGCAAAGGGCATTTTGTAATTAATATTTTCAAGAATCAGATATCTGGATTGTAGACGGGCTTGATGGTGGCAAATGGGCAGGCCTGCTGGAGGGGGTAGCACGGTTGCTGTTGTGATTCTAGGTTTTTGTTTTGCTTTAAATTTGGGGGATTGTGGATTGATGGGGGTAGGGAGATTTTTTTTTCCTGGCCTTTTTTTTTTTTTTTTTTTTTTTTTTTTTGAATGCTGCTTCCTCAACTGTTTCAAGCTGCAAATGTTTTAAGAGAGTAACAACTCCCCCCCACACTCCCACAGAACCCATTGTAATTAGATCAGACAGTGGGAAGACTGGGCTTCTGTCCCCAAAGCCACAGAGCTGAAAGGTCTAGGCACTAGGTGGGGGAGATTGTCTCCTGTGGGTCAGGCTCTGGTTGGGGCTTGGGCCCGACTGGGAAAAGGAGAAGGGGCAGACTTTGTGAGCATATGCTAGGTATCCGATAGTCCTGTAGAATTTAGTGAAGAAACCTTATACAGTTTTTAATTTTTATATAAACTCAGACCCACGCTACAAGGTTGGAATTTTGGTTGTTTTTTTTTTTTTTTTAAAGTACCCCGCCTGTATAATTGCATCAGAATCCCACCCCCGTGTTTGTATTTTGGGTTGGTTTACACTTGCACATACTCAATTTTCAGTTTCCCCCTTTTACCTTCTACCCTCACCTCCAGGACCCTCCCCCTTTTTAAAAAATAAATCGCTGACAAGTGTGAATCCCGTGAAGAACTTTATTTTGTGTTGTGTGTATCCTGTACAGCAAGGTTGGTCCTTCGTAACAACGGATGAAATGGTTCCCTTTTTTAAAGCGCTCTCTCTTCCTCCACCCCCAGCGCCCCTGTCCTTGGCATGTTTTGTATCAGCGATCATTCTGAACTGTACATAATTTATGTTGCGAGAGGCAAAGGGCAAGTTTTGGATTTTGCTTCTTCAAAGTTTGTTTTTAAACGACAAATAAAAAAAGAACATTTTAAATACAAGCGCCTCCGTCCCATGACCCTCGCCGGCAGCCAGGCCTTAAGGTCCTAGAGGACCCGGGGGAGGGAGGTTATCCAAGCCAGGCTCAGCCACTGCCGGAAGGGTGGGTTCCCCGCCTTCCGCCCTGGGGCTGCGATGGCGTGACGTAGGCGGAAGTGGCGTGGGCACCGGATGTGGGGCGGGGTCTGCTGCAAGGGCGCTTTCTAAGCCGAGGAACTGGCGGGCGATTGCAATGGAGTCGGTGAGTGGCGCAGGAGGGCGGCCGGGGGCGCTGTGGAGCCGGAGACCCCCCGCTAGGAGCCGGGGAGGGCCGGGCCAAGCTTGGTGCTGGAGCCCGGAACCTCCCTCCTCGGCTTCTGCGGGTGCCCCAACTGGGCCACCCCCGCGCCGTCCTGGGGTCCGAGGTACTCTGGCAGAGCCGGCTGTGAGCTTGGAGCGTACCAACGCCGCGCTCCTCTTGGCCTCCTGCCTGCCTATGAGAGCCTCGAGCTCTTTCAGAAGTTTGCATGTGAGCCCCGCTTGCAGGGAGCTTCAGGACCCCGTCTGTGCAACTGTTTACTGCAGTTCTTGGCACAGACGTCTGAAAGACTGCATTGCAGCCAACCCTGAAGCTACATTGCTTCAGTAAGTTCTAGAATTGATGTTTCCGTGAAGGAAGGAATCCAAGAGGCCACTGTGTCTCTTTGGACAAGTTTAAGTCGTGTCCTGATCAGTGACGCTATGCATGCGTTTTGACACGACTCATTCTTGGCGAGCAGCGTTGACCAATGGAGACAGGTCCCTGTCACCCCTTAGAGATGCTGCAGGTTATCTGCTACTTGTTTGACCTCCCTCATTCTCTGAAGCCTTTTCCCTATCACCCGAGAACCCTCCCGTCGATTTCCTGCTCCATGGTTTTTAACCTCCTATCTCCTGTAGACAGCTTGGGTTTTGCCAGCCCACACCATGTAGCACCTGCAGGTTCACTTTTTTTTTTTTTTTTTTTTCTTCTCCTCTTTGAGTCAGATACTTGCCCACAGTAACTTTTGCACGACACCTTTGTCTGCAGATGAGTAGTGTACCTTAACTTACAAAGAAGAAAACCGATACAAAGGGAAAGTGGTATGCAATTGGTTATCCATGCAAGGAGAGCATTTTAAGCAAAAGTAGTCTAATTACATTAAATTTAAAACGGTGATGTTATTTTTTACTTGTAAATGTATTGTTATACTGTAATGTTTTTTTTAAATATTTATTTATTTATTTATTATGTATACAGTATTCTGTCTGCATGTATCCCTGCAGACCATTACAGATGGTTGTGAGCCACCATGTGGTTGCTGGGAATTGAGCTCAGGACCTCTGGAAGAGCAGCCAGTGCTCTTAACCTCTGAGCCATCTCTTCAGCCCCCAGTACTGTAATGTTTAAAACTATGAACTACAGTTTAAAAACTTTATATTTCCAAATTTAGTCCTATGCTTTATGTATACCAGATTGCAGAGAGAGGGAGACAGGCAGGAGAGATGATAAGGACCACCAGCCATAGTAAGTACTTCATCAAGATACAAAAAGTTGCCAGCAGTGGTAGCCACACCTGTAATCCCAGCACTCAGGAGGCAGAGGCAGGGGGAACTCTGTGAGTTTGAAGCCAGCCTGGTCTACAGAGGGAGTTCCAGGACAGCCAGGGCTACACACAGAGAAATTCTGTTTTTTTTTTATTATTATTATTTTATTTTTAACTTAGAAACAAGATGGTTTTACATATCAATCCCAGTTCCCTCTCCCTCCCCTCCTCCCCTGCCCCCTGCTGAGAGAGTATGCCTCTGTGTGGAATGGGCTCCCAAAGTCCATTCATATACTAGGGATAAGAGAATCTCTGTCTTGAAAAACAAAACAAAATACAAAAAGCTGAGAGCATAAAGGAAGGAAACTTACATTGGGCCTAGGAGCACGTTACAGAATGTCAAAAGAGTATCTAGGCCCATGCTTGATGTTGAGACTTTGGATTTTGGTCATGGTGTAGGAAAAGTCAGCCAAGACTAAGTTGGAAGTATTGAATGCTGTGCTAAATTACACACACATACACACACTTTTTTTTTTTTTTGAGACAGGGTCCCAGTAGATAGCCCAAATCTTCTGCCTCAGTGTAGCATCACGCTCAGCTCTGACTTTTTTTTTTTAAGATTTTATTTATTTATTATGTGTACAACATTCTGCTTCCATGTATATCTGCACACCAGAAGAGGGTACCAGGTCTCATAACAGATGGTTGTGAGCCATCATGTGGTTGCTGGGAATTGAACTCAGGACCTCTGGAAGAGCAGTCAGTGCTCTTAACCTCTGAGCCATCTCTCCAGCCCTCAGCTCTGACTTTTGTAATAAGGAGTCTCGGGAGATTTATGAGCAAGGTAGTGAATGTGCTTCTGAGAATATTCTTTTTTTTTTTTAAAGATTTATTTATTATGTATAGTTTCTGCCTGCATGTGTGCATATACACTAGAAGAGGGCACCAGATCTCATTTTGGATGGTTGTGAGCCACCATGTTGTTGCTGGGAATTGAACTCAGGACCTCTGGAGGAGCAGCCAGTGCTCTTAACCTCTGAGCCATCTCTCCAACACCTGAGAATATTCTAAACCGCTTTCTGTGCATAGACTCAGCCATTTAGAAAGTAGGTTTTTAAATTATGAAGTGTGTGTGTGTGTGTGTGTGTGTAAGAGAGAAAAGAAAGATGGGGACGCACAGGTAGCACGGAATGAATGTGGAGGCAGAGGACAACTTTCTGAAGTTGGTTTTCTTCTTCCACCATGATGGCAGGTGTGGGGATCAAAATCAGGTTATCTGGCTTGTCTGGTAAATTCTTTTATTCCCGAACCATCTTGCAAGCCTTGGGAAGTATCTTTATGTGGCTAAAGATGAAAATCTCTCCAGATGAGCTGCTTTGGTTAGAGAACTTGGTCCAAGCACAAAAGGTAATTGAGCAGGCAATGGATGTGGGTGGAGGAGACTAGTATTGAGAGTGCTGTGCAGCTGGAGGTGCGGCCAAGCGCCTGCCCATGACTGTGAGTTCCATACTCTAGCACCATCCAGTGACAGTTTATGAAAACTTAGAGGGAGTGCAGAAGAAGTGGAAGCCTAAGGAAGGGTTGTGAAAGTGAGCACAGAGAGGTTTGAGGCAGTTTAAACACTAGTTTAGCATCCCAAGCCCTTACATGTTAAGGAAAATGAAAGAGTTACAGTCCCAGACACTAGGAAGATAGCAGAATTGCACACACACAGACAGAATATGAGTCACAGGCTAAGAACTGGATTGAAGGACAGATACTCTGTTGTAAAGTAAGTGTTATGAATAGTCTCTGTACCACGGAATTTGAACACAACTGGGAATGCAGATGAGTTTGGAGATCAATTCTGTCTTAGTGTTAGGTCTAGCCTCTCTCTATAGTAATACTTTAAGCTTGTGCATAAATGAGTGATGTATTCTTGGTTCCCTAAAATGTTTTGGGTGTTTTGTTGTTACTGTTTTGAGTCGTAGTCTAATGTAGCACAGGCTAACCTTGAATTCACTCTGTAGCTAAGGTTGGTCTTGAACTCCTAATCCGTCTAACTTTACCTTTGTAGCTAAACTGATCTTGAACTCCCAATCCTTCTAACTCTACCTCCTGAGCATTGGGAATACAGTTGTGCACCACTGCAGGGGACTGAGGGGGTCCTCAGTCCCCTGTCTTACTAAAGGAAGAGAGGAGTGAGTGGATATAATTTGCCCACTTGTAGAGAAACAGGCAGGATAAAATCATGTTTAATTGTGTCTGTGATGGCTGGCTTTGTCAACTTGATACAGCCTCGAATCACCTGGAAGAAAGTCTCAGTGAGGGGTCATCTGTCACCCTGGGTTACCATGTAGGCATGTCTGTGGAGGATAGTCTCAGTTAATCTCTGTCTGTGGGAAGACCTAGCCACTGTGAGTAACACCATTCTCTAGGTAGAATAACTCTGTAAGAGTGGACACATAGAACAACACAGCACAGCAAGCAAGCAAATGAGAGCATTTCTCTCTGCTCTTGACTGTAGATATATGATGCAGTCTGCTGTCTGAAGTTCCTGCCACCGTGACCTCCCCACAGCGATGAGCTCTAACCTGGAATTGTCAGCTAAAATAAGCCCCGCCTCCCCTAAACTGCAAATTGCTTTTTAGCAAGGTGTTTTACCACAGCAGCAGAAAAGAAATGAGAACATCTCTGATTCTTTTGTTGATTATCTGTATCTCTAGCTGCGTAGCTTCTTTATCTCTTGATCTTAGGTTTCTGTCCATCTGTTTTCGTGTCCCTTGTATACAAAATATAAGGTAGTTGAAGGCTTCTGGGAATTTATAATCTGTTTCTGTAGATAGTGCACTAAAAACTGTAGTGCAGTAAGATGTGTGTTGTGAGTTGGATGCCGTCACTTTCAGAAATAGCTACTTCTCTGCCCTTTGTAGATTGTGAGACCGGCGTGTACGCCTTTACTGTGGAAGAGCCTCCACTGGTTTAAGCAGTGAGGCTATTGTTTGGCAATAAGTCTTACCCCCCCCCAAAAAAAAAAGCCAGACCAGGCTGCAGGTTTTATCAAACCGAGAGAGACAGAGAGAAGAGAATTATTTGCTCACCTCAGTGTACTAGAGGGAGATTCGGGGTTGTCTTGCGCACCCTGTTTGCCAGCCATTGTTAGGTTCAAACAAGCCTTTTGTTTCATATCACCATATAATCTATGAAAGTGAAAGTTGTTTTTTTTAAAGATGTATTTATTATGTATACAGTGTTCTGCCTACATGTACCCCCGCAGGCCAGAAGAGGGCACCAGATCTCATTACAGATGGTTGTGAGCCATCATGTGGTTGCTGGAAATTAAATTTAGGTCCTCTGGAAGACCGGCTAGTATTCTTAACCACTGAGCCATCTCTCCAGCCCATGAAAATAATTTTTTTGTGTAGGGGATATCACCCAGAGAAGATGGAGATGGAGCCATAAATATGGATGACAATAGAGAAAAGTTTTCATCATCTCTCCTAAGTTCTTAGATAGTAATACAATTTCCAGATGATCTATCTACTCGAAAGAGCTGTGTGAATTCCTTCTGTGTAAGATCTTTCTCTTGTTTTTTGAGACAGCATTTCTATGTAGCCCTGATTGTCCTGGAACTCACTCTATATAGATAGGCTGGCCTTGAACTCAGAGATCCACTTTTCTCTTGGGGGGGGGGAGCTAGAGCTGGGATTAAAGACGTGTGCCACCAAGCTCACTCACCCCATGATTTTTAGTCTTAACTCTTACTTTGTTTTGGGATTTTTGGAACAGATTCTTACTGTGTAGCCCTGGCTAGCCTGGAATTCACTAATCCATTATGTAGACCAGGCTGGTCTCACATATGCTATGATCCCCATCTCTGCCTCTTGAGTGCTGATATGCTTGTTCTACCATGGCTGTTTTTAGACTTAATGTTTTGTTTTGCCTTGTAATATGCACCTGTGCTCCTGGCACTAGGAAGACTAAGACAGGGGTTTTTAAGTTTTATCTCAGCCTAGTTAGTCTGCATATTGAAACATTACCTTAAATAACCAACCAACCAACAAAAGACCTAATATTCAATTAGAAAATGTGTTCTGTAAGAATGTGAGCTTTGCCATGCATGATGGCCCAATCCTTTAATCGGAGCACTCAGGAGGCAGAATCAGGTGGATCTCTGTGAGTTCGAGGCCAGCCTGGTCTCCAGAGCGAGTGCCAGGATAGGCTCCAAAGTCACAGAGAAACCCTGTCTTGATGTTGTTTTGGGTTTTTTTGTTTTGTTTTGTTTTTTCGAGACAGGGTTTCTCTGTGTAGCTTTGGAGCCTATCCTGGCACTCGCTCTGGAGACCAGGCTGGCCTGGAACTCACAGAGATCCGCCCGCCTCTGCCTCCCGAGTGCTGGGATTAAAGGTGTGTGCCACCAACACCCAGCTGGGATTAAAGGTGTGTGCCACCAACACCCAGCGAAACCTTGTCTTGAAAAAAACATAAACAATCAAAAGACATGAGCTTTGGAGTTTCTACCTCACCTTTTAGCAGCCACGTGAGCTTGGGCAGGTGGTTCCTTTCGGACTTTTGACTCTCCATTTTCTACTGTTAATAACAGTGTTTACCTCAAGGTTGTTAGGAGAACTAGATGATATAATATTTCTTTCTGTCTTCTTTTGAGAGGATGTTGAGACAGAGTCTCATGTAGCCAGGCTAACCTCAAATCTGTTGTGTAGCCAAAGCTTGTGTCAAGCTCCAGTTCTCCTTACTTCAGCCTCCCAAGTGGTGAGTGCCACCATACTGAAATGAAGAGCCTTGCAGTGCTTTTTTAAAGGAAATCATTAGTTCACAAGCTCTTTTTTTAAAGATTTATTTATTAATTATGTATATAGTAGTTCTGCCTGCATGTGTACCCACAGACCAGAAGAGAGCACGAGATCTCATAGATGTTGTAAGCCACCATGTGGTGCCGGGGAATTGAACTCAGGATCTTTGGAAGAGCAGCCAGTGCTCTTAACTTCTGAGCCTTCACTCCAGCCCCCTATAAGTACTTTAAAAAGTAAAACAATACTGAGAATTGAACCTAGGGTCTCACACATTATTACCACTGATCTGTACCCCTGCCATACCAGCATGTTTTTGTCTTTTTGAGATGAAGTTTTACTTATATAGCCCAGGCTGGCCTGGCTTCAAACTCATGATGCTCTTCCCACTTTAGCCATCCAAGTAGTCTTTTCTCTAATGTGAGGCTAAGAGAGGATAGAGTCTCAGTTAAAGTGACTGTGTTTTTCTTGTCTTCCAGGTTGCTTCAGAGAGCTCCCCAGCTCCAGAGAATGAGCATTTTCAAGGTACGTTTACAGTGAAATCAACTGAAGAGAACTTGATGTGAAAGCTGTGGCCTGACCTTATCTTCAGTGCTAAGTTTGGAGTCTCCCGGAGAAAGGGGCAGGATTTCTGGGGATGTCGTTGAGTGGTAGAGCTCTTACCTAGCATGTGTGAGGCCTTCCTTAGGTTCCAGCCCAGTACCATAAATGAATCAAGGAGTCAATTTGCCACCTCTCTGGGAAAGGGTTTTGCCCAGGAGCACTCTTACTTTTCCTAAGGATTTTATCTTTATTGTTAGACACATATTTCCCTAAAAGATTAAAATAAAGACTGAGAATAAATTTCAAGAGATTATATAGTGGGGCTGGAGAGATGATGGTTCAGTGTTTTACGAGCACTTCCTGTACAGTCCTGAGGACTGGAATTCAGATCCCATAACCTTATAGCAACTCAGGTGTTCCACACAGCCTATAGCCCAAACTCAAGGGGGTTTGAGACAGAAGGATCACTAGGGCTTGCTGGCTGTAGCTTAGCTGAGAAAACATGACCTCCAGCTTTAAGGAAAGACCCCACCTCAAGGAATAGGCAGAGGGTGATAGAGAACCACATCCGATGCCGGGTGGTGTCCATACGCCTTTAATCCCAACACTTGGGAGGTAGTGGCAGGTGGATCTCTGTGAGTTCGAGGCCATCCTGGTCTACAGAGCCAGTTCCATGACAGCCAAAGCTATTACACAGAGTGACTCTGTCTCAAAAAACAGAGAGAGAGAGAGAGAGAGAGAGAGAGAGAGCCAGCCAGACAGACAGACAGACAGCCACGCCTGATCTCCCTCTTCTAGACTCCACACATGAGCAGCCCTTGATTGTGTTCTCTATGTTTCTCTATGTCAACAGTTTTCAACCCCAAGGTCTTCAGTAGCCCAGGCTGAGCTGGGTTTGGGGGTTTTATTCTCTTCCCACTGCCTTCCAATCTAGATGTAAAACTCTCAGCTACCTCTCCAGTATCATGTCTGCCTGCATGCCACCATGCTTCCCACCATGGTGACAGTGCACTAAACGTCTGAACTGTAAGCCAGCCCCAATTAAATGTTTTCCTTTGTGAGAGTTGTTGTGGTTATAGTGTCTCTTCACAGCAATAGAAACCCTAACTACAACACAGGGTTTCTTTGTGTAGTCTGGCTGTCCTGGAACTCACAGAGATCCACCTGCCTCTAACTCCTGAGTATTGGGATTAAAGGCATGCACTGCCTGGATGACTATGTTTTTGAAAATTTTGTCTCTGTGTATCTGAGTGTGTTACTTAAATCCTGTGTTTCCTGTGAGTGTATGTGTAAATGCATGTGCTGTGGAAATTTAAACCTGATGTTGAGTGTATTCCTTGATCAGTCACTTCTCCCACTTCATTTATTGAGCAAAGTCTCACTGGTATTTACTAGTCTGGACAGACAGTTTGCTCTGGGGATCCATATTTGACTCCTGAGCGCTGGCCATGCCTGCTCAACATTTACCTGAGTTCCGGAAATTCAAACTCCAGTCCTCATACTTTCAAAGCAAGAGCTTTCCCATTGAATTCTGTTTTAAACCAAAGATTCACAAACATCTAAATAAATTGTAGGAGCTGGAGAAAATGGCTCAGTGGTTAAGAGAACTTCTTGTTACAAACACCTGAGCTCAGTTCTCAGCACCCACATGGTGGCTCACAACCATCTATAATCCCAGTTCTAGAGGCTCCAACACCCTCTTCTGATCTCCACAGGCACTAGCACATACCTGCTGCATAGGCGTACATGCAGGCAAAACACATAAAAAAAAAGTATAAAAAAGTGACCCAAAACAAAAAAACAAAAACAAAACAAACAAATCAGTGTTACTGTGTGTTACATTGTCTAGATGACTTCAGAATTGAATACTGCACATGACATCAGTGCCTACTCTATGCTTCTGAGTACATCTATGTAGCTCCAAGGCAGGCAGCAGAAACTCAGTTGTGGACCAAGCAGATGAGGTGGACTGAATATGACAAGTAACAACTTATAAATCTTGTGTCCCACTTAAAAGGAGACAGCAACTATCTATTTCTGCTCAATTAAGGCCTATTTTTGCCAGATCTCATTTTTGTAAAGAAACTGAGAATTGAGACTTTTATGTAAATTTGTAGAGTTTTTAAATTTGGAAAGTGATTTAAATTATTTTTAAAACTGGGAAATCCAAATTCATTATGTGTGTGGGCTTCTGACTTAAAATGATAGCATTTAACTCTGTGTAGTGGATCTTCATCTGGTATCTAAAGCTGTGTCTTGGTATGTGTGAGTTGGGTTTTCATGTTTGAAAAGCAATGGAAGTCTTCCAGTTAACATGGTAGATTGAGTCTCTACATCCACCTTCAGTCCTTTTTGAAAAATAAAACAAACCAGGTTCAGAGATAGCTCAGCCAGTAAGAGCTCTGGTTGCTCTTCTGGAGGACCTGGTTCCATTCCTACCACCCTGTGGCAGCTCACACTGTCTTGTCTGTAATTCCAGTTCCAGGGGATCTGATGCCCTCTTCTGGCCACCACAGGGTCTGCATAAATATAACAGGCAGATACAGATTCAGGCAAAATACCCATAAACATAAAATAAAAATAAAAATCCTGGGCTGTTGAGATGGCTCAGAAAATAAAGATGCTTGCCAACCTGAGTTTGATACCCAAAACCCAAAAAAGAGTGGGAGGAGAGAACCAATTCCACAAGGTTGTCTTTACATGCTTTGCCATTTGTACCTACATACATGCACATACAACTACTCTAGGGGGCTTTTTTTTTTTTCAGTACCAACCCACAAAAATAAGAGCAGGAGAGGGGACTATAGAAATGGGTTCTGGAAGTTGGAAAGTGTGTGGGAGATAATTAAATGACTTGGCTGATCTGAATATGGTACATTGTAGTTAGCAGTAAAGGAAGTTTGAAAGTGTGAGAAACAAACATCCCAAGACTGGGGGTGTGGAGAGGGCCTTACCTACTATACTGGAAAGCAGAACATGAAGTAAACTATGCTGGATGCTGAGCCTCTCCCATTCAGCTTCCAGAATACTACAAAAAAGACATGAGTTAAAGAATCATCTATAGACTTTCTTGACAGGGGAAAACTTACAAACACAGCATTGGATGTTCTCTAAATGGCTTCCAGTCAACAAGTCTCGTTTATATAGTTGGAGCTTCCAGTCGGCATTCCAGTGTTCCCAGTTAAGAATGATTTAGATAAAATGTGCAAAAATAGAATTTGAGTCCTGTTTCTCTCTCTCTCTCTCTCTCTCTCTCTCTCTCTCTCTCTCTGTGTGTGTGTGTGTGTGTCAGGGGCAGGAGGGGACGTGTGTGCTATAGATGCACATGGAGTGTTGAATTTGATACTGGGTGTCTTCTTCAGTCAGTCAGTCACTCTTCTGCACTTATTTACTGAGGCAGGGTCTCCCTAAACCTAGGGCTTGATAGTTGTGATCATCTAGCTATCAGCTCATCCTGGTGTCCTTTGTGCGAAGTAAGGCTCACCAGCCTTTCACACAGGCTCTAACACATGGAGTAAGCCCTTTATCACTGAGCTTGGCCCCAGCCCCTGAATCCTGTTTTATTTTATTTTATTTTTTGGTTTTTCGAGACAGGGTTTCTCTGTGTAGCTTTGGTGCCTATCCTGGCACTCACTCTGGAGACCAGGCTGGCCTCGAACTCACAGAGATCCGCCTGCCTCTGCCTCCCCAGTGCTGGGATTAAAGGCGTGCGCCACCAACGCCCGGCAGAATCCTGTTTTAAACCAAGATTAACAGACATCTAAAGAAAGTATTAAAAAGGTGATCAAACTGTTTCCTGTCCCACAAGGAAACAACAAACAGACAATATCAACTGGAGGGAAAGTCAATGTACAAGGAACAAAACTTTGATAATAATGTAATATATTCAAGGTGGTGGTGGTGGTGCACAGAACTTGGGAGGCTGAGGCAGGTAGATCTCTGTGAGTTTGAGGTCAATCTGGTATACATAGTAAGTTCCAGGACAGCCAGGGAGAGACCCTGTCTGAAAAAGAAAATGGGAATTCCAACAGACTTGAAAGGATCAGTGTAGAAAGCTTAGTGGCTAAATTGTACAAGTTACAGAAAGAAAAAAATGACACGACAGAGGACATAGTCAAGATAAACAAACACTAGACATTACCAGAACTGAAAAACACTACTTTTCTTATTGAAAGAAAACCCACTGAAAATTCAGCAGTAGAGCGGATGAACCCAATCCACTCAGAGATATAAGCAGATTTCAAAGAGAAGAGCCTGTGAGTTTTCAGAGAGGAAAAACAACTCATGAAAGAGTCGGAAACGATAGGAAAGCAGGGTTAGTGTTCAACAGGCGATGACACACAATGCCTTCAACATTCTGTAGGAAATTAATTCCAACCTAGCACTTAAGCCAGCCAAATTATAAATCAGAAGGATGATCGTGGAAGAGCAATATCCACAGGCTACTAGGTCTCAAATTTACTTTCATACATGTACCTTTCTCAGAAAGTTACTGGAGGAGATGCTGTATGAAAAAACAGGGTACAATGGTAAAGCATGTAAACGGGTACAAGAGTCCAACAGAGCAAGGTAAGAAAAGGGCCTCCTGGACAGTGGTGAAGGAAAAACCAAGGTGGCAGGGCAGAAGACCTCAAAGAGACATCCTTTGATACTCCAAGCTGGTAGACTAAGGCTTCTGAATTTCCCGAGAGTCAAGTAGTCAGTAGACTTAGGGATTGAATCAGTTGTAAGTACTATATGTAGAAAATGTAAACAAACAAAAAAATAAGACCGTTGTTAACTCTAGGGATGTTTCTTTTTTAATTTATGTTTATTGTTTTCAACTATGTGTACTTGTGTGGGTGCACATCTGAGTGCAGGTGCCCCCAGAGGCCAGAGGTGACTGATGTCCCCGGAACTGGACTTACAGGTGCTTGAGAGCCATCCAATGTGGGTACTGGGAAGCAGAACCTTACTCACTGAGCCATCTCTCTAGCTCCAAGAAAAAGGTTCTTATTTAACTTAGCTCTGATATGAATATTTACTCAAAATGATTTAAATACCGATATAACCAGCATTAGGATTTAACTTCCTGAAGGATGGGGGGGGGGTTACAAAATGGGAGGTACTTGTGGATGTTGGTTTGGAAAGTGAACTCAAAATTCTTGTCTTTGTTAGGAAGATGGTGATTGAAAGTGAAATGAAGTCAGAAAGCAGCGATGTAAGCATATCCTCCAATGACCAGGAATAAAACAGTCTGGGTGTGGTGGTGCACACCTGTGATTCCTGTACTCAGATGCTGAAGCAAGAGAGTGTGGAACTAGCTTGTCTATATAGTGAGACCTGACTTTAAAAAAAAAAAGGGGGTTGAGGTGGGGACTGGAGAGATGGCTCAGCGGTTAAGAGCACTGACTGTTCTTCCAGAGGTCCTGGGTTCAACTCCCAGTAACCACATGGTGCCTCACAACCACCTTCAATGAGATCTGGTGCCCTCTGCTGGCATGCAGGCAGAAGACTGTATACGTAATAAATAAATAAAATCTTAAAAAAAAAAAAAAAAAAAAAAAAAAACACAGTGTCTTTT